GAGGATTTTTATAGTTCGAGATTCGCGATGGCAATTAGTTCATCAAGTATACAACAGTCATCACTGCATTTGTGCAAAAACACTTAAGTATATATGTCGTTGTCAAGAGAGCTTGAATGATTTATAAGATATGTCTATTCTTGCACTCTGCAACGCTGATTTGTTCTAGTGTTTGGGAACAAGATATTTCATGATAGAAATCATGTTCTTGAAAATATCTGCGAAATTATGCATTATTTTATTTTCCACATTATTATATCGAAGAATCAATAGCTTAGTGAAAACTTATATTCGAATCATATTATGAAATGACCGAAATACTTCAAATATTTCATTTCTATTCTTCAACAAATATAGCCAAGTTATTCGTATACAATCATCAATAAAGGTTACAAACCATCTAACACCAAAGGAAATAGTAATAGGAGCAGGACCCCAAACGTCAGAGTGAACAATAAAAAACAGGACGTCACACTTATTCAAACTTATCAGATAAGGTACACGATGACTATTAGCTTGAATGTAAGCTTCACCCTTAAAATCTGAGTCATTAAATTTTGTAAATAAATTCAGAAATAAATATCTCAAATATCAAAATAAGGGATACCCAACTGGTTATGCCATAACCAAATCTGCCTTTCCTTGACTCCTGCAGAATACATATTATTCACTCTACCACAGCTGAAATCATCCATGTAATACAATCCTTCCCTTTTAATACCGCGACCAATAATCTCCTTGGTGAGAATATCCTGAAAGAAATAGAATTTAGAATATATTAGAACACAAAAATTCAATTCCTCAGTCACTTGTCCTATGGATAACAATTTATTAGAAAGTGATAGAACTAATAAAGTATTTGGTAATGAAAAAAGAGAAAAAGCAACTATTCCAGCCCTTGTTACTGGATATGCTACTCTGTTGGCATTAGCAATACATGTTCATTTCGGTTGGGTGGTTTCAAGGAAGTCACAGGGATCGAATGTCATTTGGTCGGTTGCCCCATAGTCAATGATCTAGCTATCATGGTTCCTTATTTTAGAGCACAAAAAATACAATCTTGATTACCTGAATCATTCTGACCAATTTTGTTCACTAGAAGATTCTTATTGCGGTATAAGAGATAAGTGATGCTCTACGCTCATAAGAGTTACACAACCAGGATTGTCTTCTCCCCTTGCTTCACATTTTTTCTTTGCCTTGAGTTCGTGCCACCAATCTGGATAACCATGTAGTTTAAAGCATGTTTTTTTGGTATGTTTTGTATTCCCACGATGTGTGCAGTCTTCTCCTTCCCCTTGTGACTTTAGTTTTGTAACTGGTTTTCCATTTGAAGTTGGTCGAAAAGATAATTGATGTTGAGATTTTTGTCCCCCTTCAAAAACATAGCACTACTAAATATGGTATCCTCCTTTTCTATCATTACAGATTACTTCAAATCTTCTCTTCATACTAGAGCATAAACTTGTTCCACTATTGGCAATGGTTGTAACTGGAGCACATCTGCTCGAATCTTCAAGCCCGTCTAAGAAAGTATAAATTCTATTCTCTTGCAAGATTGAGTTATATTTATGTATATCAGTATCACATTTCATGAGATTTGGTCGGTGAAAATTGATTTCTCTTCACAATCCTTATAGATTGTTGTAGTATGTCTCGATAGATCCTTCTCCTCATTTGAGTTTGGTTACTCTTCTTTTGAGATCATATTGATGTATCCGTGTCATCAAAGTATGTTGTGGCAATATTATCTCAAACAGCCTTAGCCATTAGAAATCTGATAAAGTTACTAACTTTGAATCCATATAATTAATTAGCCATCCCTTCACCACTGTGTTTTTAGTTCTCCATTTTCTGAATGCAGGATCTGTTTGTGGAGACTCTGGAAGTTCTCCATTTATGTATTCCAACTTGTCTCTGTCTAAGATATACATCTCGACAATTTGGGGCCATAGTGCATGATTGGTGCCATCTAGCTTGATTCCAATCTATGTTGCGGATTCATAACTTGAGACCTAGTTCTGTGTTTGATTGAGATTTAGTACTTATGTTATTCTTGTTGTAAGTTCTACATGAATTGAATTCTCCCTTTCGTGTTTCTGCATCTTAGTGGTAGGTGTTTCTATTTTCCCTTTCTTCTTTTTTCCTTAGGAATTCTATGGTCAGAATCTCTGCTCTGATACCATATTGATGAGAGAAGAAAATTAGACAAAAAATGGTTTTCTTTTCTTATTTTTTTCCTTATATCAAAGATATAACAGAGAAAGGTTACATATAATCTACACATGAACCTAATGTGGAAGAAACTACACACTAATTTAGGCAAAATACTATGATCATTTACAACAAATAAGACTAACTTGGTAATTAGAATATTTTGTAATTTCTATAATTGTTCTGTCAATAATTATTTTGTGATTTTTATAATTTCTCAGTTAGTAATTATTTTTATGATTCTTATAATTATTCCTTTACAGCTCCCATCAATATTTTTTGAATCCAGATTGATATTCTTCAATCCTTTTTCATAATGACAAGGTATTACTTCTATAAATTGTGATAAATTTTTCTTCTCTTGTCTATACATTTATTGGACATGATGTGGCTGCTACTTCTTTCTTTTCATTGCAAAACCTAAGAGACATCTGACTTTGATTGAAATAGAACATAAAATTGATACAGTTATTTATGTTGGCCAAATCTTTTTAATACTCTGTTAGCTATATATGATAAATAACCATATAAATGGTGACCCTCTCGAAAACAATAAGAAAAATAAAACATATGTATGGTGATTGCTACCTTGTACAACTCTTACGAAATAGTTGACACTAATCTAGACAACAAATTTTGTGTTGTCAACACAATGTTAGATTATCTTTGACTGCAAGACAGGAAATGGTTACTCCATGTAAGTCTCAGAAAATTTTTATAAGTGGCAACTTCTCCAAATTATGTATAATCAGACATTTATATGTATTTATGTATAAGGTTCTAATGACAATATTATATACATAGGTAATGCAGAAAATTATCGATTCTTAAAAATGAGATTGGCTTACGGATTGAGGAATTACTAGCACTTCAGATATCAAAACTTGGACAAATTCGTAGTATATGTTTATATTATATGTATATATACCTATATAACATGGATGACGAGCATTATGCACATGACCTCATATGAATGGTACATAAAAGTCTGTTAGTTGCATATACTGAATGGTGATATCAAAAAAGAAAAAATGAAGAGGACCCACTTGCTACATTGATGATTCTTGTTGTAGTCTCAGAGATTTCAGGTTAAATCCCGCACGTATGGGTTGAAATATGTAGTTATAGATTCAAATCTACAAAACATGATTGCACATGTATTGCATGTGAATTAACCGCTTAGTGCTCTTTTTATTCTGGAAAAGAAGATGTATATACACATATAGATCTGGCATTCAGGTCTCACTGGAGAAGGGCGTGTAATTAATGAGTTGATTCACGAAGTGTACGAGCAATACATGTGCCAGAGCTTCATCTTTGGATTTTTGGAGGGTGAAAAGAGGTTGGTCTCGGCGTGGAAGTTTCTTGTTGTATAATTTTGGCGAGTCTCATCAGCAGAGACTTTGTGTTATTAATTTAGTTTTGTAGTGCACTTGTTCAGGTGAAAAGGGTTTATAAACGGAAGAGAATACAGACAACTTGATGTACATATAGATCAACATGCATGTACTGTATAGATGTCTCTATTCATCCATTGCTTCCAATACTTTATACTTATATTACTGCTGAGCAAGTTTACTGTTGGAGAAAAAATAGTTAGAATACACCTATTTTGATATGGGTTTGGTATGTATAAAGTTGGTATGCCCTATAACTATCATATATAGTTGGATAACATCAAAAAAATTACTAAAATGTATAATAAAACTGTGAATGTTTACCAAGTATTAGCAACAAAGAGATGCTTTCCAAAACTGACAGAATCTCCTTGCACTTACAGTTGAATTTAATGGTGTAAGTTAAAGATTGATTTATCCGAAAATAAAAATAAAAGAAACACTGAAAAGGAAAACAAAAGTTGTTTGCCCTCTTGACAAATGACAAATCTATGACTAAGGGGAGATTTAAACAACTGAGTTGTATGCATTTCTTTTGTCAGCTTCTTAAGGAGATAATTATAGGTTACAAATAAATACAGACACATGTTTGTATCGTGCCTCAGTCATTAAGCTTATATATAAAATGACTATAGTAGAATTTAAATAATCAACTGTCTCGTTTTATATCAACTTAATCTTTTAATTTATTGTTTGAGATCTTATTATAATTGGAGATAGTAAATTCCAACTTGGGAAACCTATTCAAACGTGAAAAAGTTTCTTAACATATAAATGATAAATTGTGTATAATTTTTTTTTTATCAATTTAAGCCTATAAAATAACCGGTCAAATTAAATAATATCTATTGTCATTTATTTAATATTATTTTGTTTTTAAACAACTATTCGTATATTTATATACAAACGTTATAAATTTTTTTTAAAAAAAAAAAACAGTTTCCATAACAAAATAATCGTAATACGTGTTTTTGTTTTATTATGAAAGATAATGTGTGTGTGTATATATATACACAGACATGTAGGTTTCCAGTACCTAGCAGGCCAGCTTAGTTTTTGTCTGACATCCATATTAATGATGTCTCATTAAAATACAAAAAGCTTTACACTTTGAATGGTCCAATTTGTTTGTGTAGGAAATAAACTCGTTGCAAATTGTCTTCCACTCCAAGTAAATGTCATGTAAAAAGCTTTACATTTCAATTGTACTAATTCTTTGATAGACTTGTGAGTAAATAACATCCATCCAAAATAGTTTTCAGAAATCATACCAATTGTACTAATTCTTTGATAGACTTGTGAGTAAATAACATCCATCCAATTTCTTTGTCCCCTTTTTGCAATAAGATCTCTATAATGAATCTATAGATCCAGCAAATAACCGAGAAATTTATGAATTCTTTGCATTTGCATCATGACTAGACTGAAAATTCATATATACATTGATAGTCGGCTCTGGATAATGTTCACGCTCTCGAATCTCCAATAGCTCATGTGTTCAAGTTTCGAACATTTGTTATACTTCGTACAAGTTCAGTTACAACATCCGGGTGGTCTAGCTAAAAAGCTAACAATGATCCACTCTGTGAGGGTCGATATCTAACCTTATCTTGTAGACCCTTCAAATAAGCACCAACAAATAGGAAGTCTTGTTAAAATTTACTAACCTGTATTGGTAGCCACTTCTTGCTCTTGTTCAATTGCCAAACCAAAAAATTGTTGATTCTCGGTATGATGTTCATCATGAAGAACTGTCTACATGGTTTGATTAGAGTTTGCTAACACTCTAGTTCTTAGTGATTGACCATCTTCACCTGTAAAAATATATAAAATTGATTACATAAATATTTTTGAGTTTATTTATTATGTCTAAAGATCACAGGCTATATCCCTGTATAAGTTCACTAATCCTACTAATTTAATGCGACCATGAATCACAAGCTTGATGTAAGCTCATTTATTATATCCCCGTATGCTACTCCGCTTACCGCTTTCTTTTCAATTATCTAAAGATGGTGAATAAGTAAAGAAAGAGGAGCTCATAACGGCTCATCCTAAGCCTCCAACATTCACTAATCAAGATCATGCCTAATATGCAGCATACATACTGCTATGCAATGCCTACTTCAGTACTACAAGACCCTTTCCGACACAAGTGAAAGAAAAATAATCTAGGACAAATTTTTAGCATTATTCAACATATAAGAGGTCTCAATTATCTTTCATACATGAACAAAGACATGGATAACAAACAGAATGCTCCAGAAATTTATTAGGACTGCATATTTTAACTCAATACAGAAGACCTAGTATCCAAAAGTACAAGCCTCAAATTATAATGTATTTAATTCATCCGTCGAACGGAGTTCATAATGAAAATATGTGTGAGTGATATTAGCATTGAGAAAAGATAAAGGTGGAAAATCCAAGAATCAGAAACCGCACCAAGCTCAATTTTCAAAAAATAGACAAACAACACATTAGTGCAATATATGAGTTGATAAATGCATATATTTACGTATCCAAACTTCATTGAAACATGCACTTGGAGATATATCTTCCATAATTTTGAGGAAAATGCTAGCACCAAATCTATACTTTTTCGTACCAATGGGTTAAAAGGAGATCAAAGGTAAACTAGTAATTGATTTAATGTCCTCTCACGATATATGCGCATATATATAGAGGTTTAAGAAAAATTAAATACTCCTATGTAAGTTGTTAATTCAAAAATGAGCAACAAAACAATGCAAGTTATTCAGAAGAGAACGAAGATCAACAACAAGAAATAATGTTTTCCTGCATGAAAGCACGACAGGAAGACAATGACATCTGGTAATTGGACAGTGGATGCAGCAATCATATGACAGAGAGCAAGGAGGTGTTCATATAGCTGGATGAATCATTCAAATCTAAAGTCAAGCTTGGTGATGGGGAAAAGCACAAGATAGCTGGGAAAGGCATCATCAGAATCAACAGAAAGAGAGGTAACTCTACACTGATTCTTGACATTTATCTTGTTCCTGATCTAGCATAGAATTTATTAAGCATTGGACAAACAATGGTAACTACAAAATCATAGATAAGAATACAAGCATGATAATGGCAAAAGTGGCAATGAATTGTAATAAGACATTCCTTTTCTACTTGCCATTAAATGAAAAATGTGCATTCCAAAGTCATGTACATGATGAATCATATTTATGGCATTTATGCTGTAGGCACATGAATTACAAAGGCCTGAAACTGTTGAAGGATAAAAATAAGGTTATTAGGTTGCCTAAGATCAAAGAAAAAAAGAAATTTGTGAAGGATGCATTTATTACCTATTTCCAAAAACATCCTGGAGGGCTAAAATTCAACTACAGCTAGTGCATCCAGAAACTTGTGGTCCTATAGCAACACCATCACTAAACGACAATAATCATTGGTGATTGTACCAAGATGATATGGATTTATCCGTTGAAGCAAATATCAGAAGCATTTTCTAAATTTCTTCAGTTTAAACCAAAGAGGAAAGGAAAGAGGTACCATTTGAAAATTTGGAGGACTCATTGGCGTAGCAAGTTAAATTCTATGAAGTTCTAGAACTATCATTCTAAAGAAGGGATGAAAAGGGAACTTCACACGCATACAGTCCATAATAAAATAGAGTTGCAAAAAGGAAACCGTCCGATTGTCGAACTGGCTTGAAACATCCTCGAAAGAGCAAAGGACTGCAAAGCAATTTCTGAAGTGAAGCGTTGATACTGTTGCCTATGTTCTCAATCGGCCACCGAAAAAAAGCAGTTCAAAGCAAGACTCTTAAAACATATGGTATGGATGAAAACTCCGGGTAAATTTTCTAAAAGTCTTTGGATGATTGCCTATTCTCAAATTCCTTCACAACATAGAGAAAATTCAGAAGATAGTCTCTAGTAAATCCAAAGACGAAAGAATTCATAATCTCTTGAGAGGTTATCTTCGATGAGTTCATATGTTGAAACTAGAAAAAGAGTTCTCTACAACAACGACCTATTATAAATTTCCTAGCAACAGCTTCAATCAATCCAGGTTTGAGCCCTACACCATCAGAAGAAATCTATTCAGACTTTGAAATGCCACCTAGAAGGGTACGTTTCTTGAGAGAAATTTATGAAATTTTTTTTTTTTTTTGAAATAAAAAGTGTGAGTAGTATATTAACAATGTATCAAAAGGGGATACCACCTATATATAAAAGATTTACAAGTGTGTTAAAATGTTAATAAAAAACCCAAAATCCACATCTCTAATAATGTTATGAACTAACAAAATAAAATCAAAATAGTAGAGCCATTTGTCCCTTAACCTATACAGGTCAATTTCTTTACCCTCAAACGCTCTACAGTTTTTTTCCTTCCAAAGAATCTAAAATACAGTCAATGGAATCATCTTTACAGTATTTCTTTTCCTATCAAGTCCTTCATAAGCCCACACCTCAACAATAACAGATCCCGCAATAACCCAGTTAACCCCCATCAAACCATATATCATGATCCATAGCTCGCAGGCCACAGGGCACCACAGCAGCAAATATTTACAAGTTTCCTCAGCGTTCATGCGTAAACAACATCTGTTGACCAACATCTGTCCTCTAGATTTCAGCTTATCAATAGTTAGTATACATTCTCTGCAAGCTTCCCATCCAAAGAAGACGATTCTTGGGGGTACCCAGGTTTTCCAAATCTAAAGGACAGGGAAGCTATGCCTTCTGCTAAACTCTTCCCTCATAATGTGTTTATAATAGGATCTGACCGAAAAAAACACCATCCTTTTCCAATTTCCATTTCATCTGATCCTTAACAGAGGTAATCTGTTGAGCAGCCAAATCTGAAGAAGATCTAAATACTCGCTGACTCCCAATCATTTAAGTTTTTTGTGACATTGATCATCCACTCAAAATTGCCATTAATTTCTCTATAGGCCTCTTCAATAACCATATTTCTAGATTGTGCTATTGCAAAAAGTTTTGGGAATCTGTTGTTGAGACTTTCTCCTTCAATCAACTCATCATACCAAAATTTAATCCTGTCACCTCTGCCTAGATCCAAGCGAATACAGTCCCTGAATCGGGGCCACTGGAACAGAATGTTCTTCCAAAGTCCCAGACCGTGAGGCTTTCTATCCTTCTCCCATCATTACAAACCTCAATGTTACCCCACCGCATCTGAACAAACCTCCTCCAGAGACAGCTCTCCTCTTTGAGAAATTTCCATGGCCATTTTGGTTGGAGAGCCTTGTTCATTTCCACCAGGGACCTGATGCCTAATCCTCCCTATTTAAATGGCTTTTTGACATCATCCCACTTGACTAAATAGTATTTTCTATTTCCAACTTCGTCACCCCAAAGAAACCGGCACTGGATGGCTTCCAACCTCCTAGCAATACTTACAGGGATCATTAAGGTGGAAAGGGAATAAATGAAGAGGTTGGCAAAAGTCCTCTTAATTAAAGTTAGTCTCCCGCCTTTAGATAGAAAATTTCTCCTTCACCCCGCCAGTTTTCTTACAAACAAGTTAACCACCGGTTCCTAAGATTATCCATCCTTGAATCTAGCACCCAAGGGGACCCCAAGGAATTTATGAAACTTCTGATGTTGCTTTCTTCACATGAAAACCTCATAATCATGAAGAGGAAGCGAAAGAAAAAATTTGGTCGAACACAATAGATGAGAGATCGCAAGAATTGAGAAGAATGATACTTTAAAGCTGATAGATCTACCAAAAAATAAAGAAGTCATCGACTTAAAGTGGATCACAAGACAAAACATAAAGAAGAGGGCATAATTCAGAAACACAAGGCTGATTAATTACAAATGGCTATTCCAAAGAGCCTGAAGTTAATCCCAATGAAACATTTGCACCCAGTCGCATGCACGGAGACAATCAAAACAGTTCTCGCCTTAATGGCCCAGCTCAAGCTACATGTCTGTCAATTCGATGTCAAATTAGCATTTCTTAATGTATGTGAAACAAACCAGAAGGTATATGGTAAAAGGCCAAGAGCAAAAGGTTTACTAGCTCAAGAAAGTATTATATGGTTTAAAACAAGCACCATGGTCTGAAATAGTAAAATAGATTGTTATTTCTTGCATAAAGGCTTTAAGAGAAGTCAAGGTGAGCCATTCTTTGAGTAAATAAAGAAGGCATGCACGCTTTTCTAATTGTCTGCTTAGACGTTGAAGATTTAACCTACACAAGAACAAATCTTAAGATGGTAAAAGAATTTAAGAAGGCCATAATGCATGAGTACGAGAAGACAGACTTGGGAATGATGAAGTATTTTCTTGGGATCCAAGTACAATAAGCCAAAGGAAAAATATGGATTTTCCAAGAAAAGTATCTCGGAGATTTGTTGCAGAAACTACACATTGGTAATTGCAACCCGATATCAACTCCTCTAGAGACAAATACATAGCTGCAACCAATGACGGTGCACCAAGTGCAGATGCAAAATTATATTGTAGCCTAAGTGGTTCATTAACAAACACTAGACAAGATCTAGTCTATGCCGTCAATTTAACTTCAAGATTCATGTAAGAGCCGAGTAAGATCCGCAATGGCAAAAAAAAAGAAAAAAAAAAAAAACAATCTAGTTAGCTACACTGATAGTGATCAGGCAGGATCCATTGATGGTTGAAAAAGTATGTCTGGATATTTATTTTGTATGGACTCCAAAATAATTTTGTGGTCATCGAAGAAACCGAAGACAATAGCCCTTTCATCAGCAGAAGTGGTATGCATCATAGCAACTGATGCAGAATATGAAGCAGTATGACTTAGAAGAATTTTGTCCAACTTGCAATAGAAAGAAGGCTATCCAATAATTATTTCCTGCAACAACACGTGTACCATTGCTATGACCAAGAATCTAGTCCTTCACAGCAGAATGAAGTCCATTGACCTATGACATCAATTCATCAGAAATCTTGTACAACAAGGTGAAATTCAGCTGGAGTTCATGAGCAGTAAGTGGCAATTAGCAGATATTTTCACCAAAACAATTTCGACAGAGATATGTAAAGAATTTAGAAAACATGTTTAAATTACAAGTTAAGAGGCGTTGTTAAAACTAATTACAACTTAAGAGACTAAAAGATGAAGGATCGAGAATGACGGTGGAGAACGAAGAACTTGAAAGAACTTAGATTGTCTTCATGACAGAGAAAGAGAGGTGGTGGAGAAATAGAGAGATTGAGAAAAATCTGCAACCATTTTAGTCGGTCATCCAGGCTCTATATATTTGTAGGTGTATGCATATGTGTATCAATCAAGAAAGAAAAATAACCCAAACAAGCTGCATATAGAAAATTATAAAGCAAAAAATAAAAGCACCTCTTCACTATTCATAGCCCCTTCTACATTCACTATTGTTTCAATTTCCTCAACTCCTTCTTAAACCTCTAATTTCTTTATTTCTCCTTTAGGGTCCAAATTAATTTTTCTTACCCAAAAATTAATTCCATTATATAATTTAATCCTCAAAATTCTAATAAACATGAACATTCAAAAAACAATCTTTTGATCATAAATGCCTTACCTGCAGTTAGATTCTTGTATTCCCTAAATGTTCTGGCTACGGTGGCAGGAGGGTTTGAAGAAGGAGCAGCACCCTTTAATCCAAATGGCAAGGAACCGCCTGATGAGACCATAATGCCGTCTAAACCACCCTGCACGTTGTCTACAGCCACAACGCCGTCTACGTCTTCGTCGTCGACGACTGTTTCCCTATTGCCGCCTCTGGTGTCAACCTCGATCAAGACTCGATTAATACTTCCATGATTCACAACATGAAAAACAAAAACAAAAAACAAAATAAAGCACAAAACTTCAAAAGAAAGAGGAGCAGGTGAATACTCAGAGAGTGAAGAAACGTGAAATTTTAAAAAAATTTCTTTGTAGTTTGATTATTTTACATGTACAATTTTTATATAACATAAATAAATACGTGCATAAACACATTCAACACAAGAATTAATTAAAATTATTTTCATGTATATAGCAAATAGAACCTGAAATTTCCAAATAAACTCTACAGTAACAGTACCATATTTCATTTTGTTCCAAGTAAACATATGAATTAATTAGAAAATTAATATTGGTCGATCTTAATTCTGAGTTTCACTAGAGAAAGAAAAGTTTGGAGGATGGAGAATTAAGTTTCATTTGAACTACGTGGCGTCATCCGATCAACCCATCTTCAACTTCGATGTTGTTACTTGGCATTTAATTCTGAGTGTAAATTAAGAGGAGCCAAATGAATAAATCTGGGGTGGGTTAGGGGACTTGTCGAGCCGCGGTCCATGGCGTGGGTGCGAGTGGGACACCATCGTTATGATTGGGACTAACTAAGGGTGTGACTCATCTCATCTCTGTATATGGATTATGTTGAGATTAATACAACTCCTACCAGATTATTTGTACCAAATCAATTGCCCAACAAAATTTTGTATAGATCTTCTGACTGATAATTACTTTCACATTTTCAATCTATCTAAATCAATTTAATGTAGGGTTATATTAAGTTGGGAGATGAAGAGTCGTGTATATTATATATAAATTGACCTAATTTTCTAATTGAAGAGCACATGTTGAGTTCAAGCATTTGTGAACTCTGATATGATATTCGTAATGAAGTAGTTTAATTTTTTTTAGAGTTAGAGAATTTTTTAGATTATTTTTATTCATAATTCTAGTACATATTTATGAAGTTTAGTGGCAGAGTTGGTAAACATGATCAAAATATAAAATAGAACAATGTTACCACGAACTTTTTTTCTGAATGGTTTCTACTTGGGTGTTTATACATTGAATGCTCTAACAAGCTTATGGATGGTGCTTGTCATAGTTGAATTTGTCTTGGAGATTAAGCAATTGATCAACGAAACGTATAACGACCCGGAACTTAAAATGAGGTAAATTATAAATTGAATGTGGAAGCGAAATAATTAAGTTAAGGTTCACGTTCCTCACAAAACGATTTAAAATACATACTTACCGTAGCGAGATTTCTAATCTCATGTTCAAGTAAGTAAGAATAACAATTTTTTCCTTTTATCTGCTTACTAGTATCCATAAGGATGTCATACTATGCGTGAACCATTATTTAATATTTTTAACTAACCGGCCGTCCTCATACCTCGTCCGGTATGAGCGCCAAAAATATCATCCCTCAATACTCCATCTGGTATGAGGGTGAAACGGACCGTCTCCATACTCCATCCGGTATGAGGCAACGTTCATGATGGGGTTCCCTATATACCCAGTCTGTCAATCATCTCTTAAAATATCCAGTAATGCTACCATTTATTCATTCACTTAACTAAGCGATTCTCGTTTACATTTAATCTTCAGTTTCATTGTTTAACTGTAAATCACGCAAAACAAGCAATACATGCATTAAGGAAACACAACCAAATCATCTTACTAATTCTAGTATATTATCATGCTTTTAAAATTGTAAAATCAACCAATCAGCTAAAACATGACAAACAATAATAAATAACCAGTTCTGCCTCTATTAGTAACCTGTAATTAATTATCGAGATTTTCTAAATTATGTAAAATATTGTATTATTTATATTTAAACTTTAATTCCATAACAGAGAATAAATTGAGGGATTCTTATCCGAATCGGTGTCCAAAATGCTAAACTTTCAGTTACCCCTATTGGTGGTCCTCGAATTTTCTAATTTTTTTTTGGAGATTAAAACACACTTTAAATACTTAGAAATATCCAAAAAAATTCAAAATCGGTGTTAAAAATCTTTTCCGACCAATTTTAGAATTCCGGCGATGGCACCGCTGTCCCGGTGGAAATTTGCCTCGGACTGGCCTTTTTGGCTAATTTTATACTCATTACTGTAATTAAACACGTTAAGAAGACTCGGTTGGTTGAAAAAAATCGAAAAACAAAAAATTACCGGCATTGGGATTTTCTAATGCGGCAGTTTTGCCGGCTCACCTTCGCAGTTAAACATTTTTCTTCAGTCAACTATAGAAAATAGAATGGTGATTACGATGGTAAAAAAATCGCACGAAATAGAAATTGGGAAGGGGTTCATCGGAGGCGGTTTTTAGTTTTTTCTGCGGCGGCACCACCGGGCTTTATCTGTGGTTTCCAACTCATCCGCTGGTCCTTTCGCTCCGATTTGGTTATGGGGGTGTTCAAAACCAAATTTCGAACGAATGAAGTTTTTTTTTACCTTTTTTGGCGGCCCGTAGGTGGTTCCGGCGCGGCGGCCGGCGGTGGTCGGCTCTCTTCTCCGGCGATTGATTCTTCATCTCCAGTGGGGGGGACTGGTGGCTAGTGTTAGAGTTCGGTATGAAGTGAGGTATATATATCCGGTTTTTTTTTAATCTGGACCGTTCGTCACGTTTGATCTTGACCGTCCGATCGCGTTTAAAGAAAAAATGAATCTGGACCGTCCATTGCAATTTGATCTAAATCATACAATCGAGTTTAAAGAGAAAACGAATTTGAACTGTTCATCGCGTTTAATCGCGACAGTTCGATCGTGTCTGAGGAGGGAACGGATATGGACCGTCCATGTGCGCAGGAACAAATTCGCACGGTCCGATAGCAGGCATGCGAATTTCCAGCGTGGTCTCTCGCATGGTACCGAGTTAACGTGTCTTGCCACGCGACGTGCTCTTATTTGTCAAGATTGTTGACTGGACGGTCCTACATGACATATTTTTTTTAAATTACGTTTTGACTCTCAATTTTTGATTTTTTTTTTTTCAAAAATAACATCTGAACCTAAATTTTCACCACTTTCTCCTAAAATTATTTTTAATTTCATTCTCCACCGATTTTTTTTCTAATTTTATGTTAAATAAAAATTTATAAATTAAAAATTTATACTTTTATACATTAATTTTAATTTTTAAAATTAATTTCGGATATTACAAAACTAGCTTAATATATATGTCTCTAATTTGATAACCACTAGAAAAAAAATGAATGAAAAGTTTATTATAGCAATTCATTCATAAATAAAATGGTAGTTGAGCTTAATATACTTTATATGAGTGTCAAGAATCGAATTAAAATTGAGATAGATGACACCAATAATACCACACATAATATAAGAGGCCGAAAGAAGGAAAAACCAATTACAGAAAGAATAAATTTAATCTACAACAACTTTAACTATTATTTTGGCAATAGCTTTGCATTTACCTTAAATAAAACTTCAAGTCATAATATATATATATATATATATATATATTTTGTTATTTAAGACTTACCAAGAAAGTAGCATATTTCATAGCACTGTAATGATACTCTCGATTCCCATCCTAAATCAGTTTTAAAGAAACATTGAAGATATGGTGGGAAAATTAGTAACAGAAGAATAAACCTTGGCTTAAAATACCCTTAAGACAATTATGAACTTACTTTAAAGCCTTACGAATGTCATGAGTGGGCGAACATGTGAACTAAAAAGGCTTATTAAGTGTAAAAGAAATACTTAAGGCGAGTAATAGGATAATATTATACAGACACTTACGAGTTGTCTATACAACTTATGATAAAAAATAATAATAATCAACACTAAATTAGACTATATGAACAGAAGCGTAAGAGTGTTCACGTGCAATAAAAAGTCAATGAACGATAGATAAAACTTTTAAAACAGAGAGTAACAGTGAGTTAAATTTGAATTTAAATAAGAAAATAGCTCATATAAATTTAACATAGGTGACGATATAAAAACAACTTGTTTATAATATAAAAGTTTATAGTCATTATGATGGGAAAGAGATTGGTCAAACACAATATTAAGACTAAAAAGACATTTGTCTTATTGTTGTATGTAGGCAAAAAGAAAAAATTTCACACCCGAATGTTTTTAAGGTGGTTGAGTATAAAATTGAAACTAATTCAAGAGTTAAAAAAAAAAAAAAAAAAAGAAGATGTTTATGAAAAGCTTAGAACATCAAAGGCACAAAGGCTAGCATGTAAGAGAAACAAAAGAATGAGCTAAAAGGTTGAGAGTGTGTTAATAATATGCTCAATTTTTCTTGTAGCAACACATTTCATTCAAGCATCTAAGGACATGCTAAGAAATACACAGCTTTTTATTTTATTTTATTTTTTTTATAGAAAATATCAAATAACTTTTTATTAAAAAGTGCTTTTTTACTAAATAATTATTTTAATAATATTTTTAAAACTTACAACATAACATAAGATATAATCATCTCATTACCCACAAAGTGTTTTTGCTATCATTCTCTTTGTTGTTAATTACTTTACATAGTTTTAAGCATAATATATATAAATTTAGAAAATAAAATTATCTAACGTACCAAAGAAAACTCGACTCTAAATTTTGCATATAAAGTTTAAATATCACTCGCACGTACAAATCAAATAAAAATTAGACATAATTGATAGATAAGCTAGTTTTCACCGGGTACAAACATGATTGATGACCGGAGACATAAAATTTCAATCATATGACTTTTTTTTAAAACTCATCAATTTAATTTTATTTAATTAGTACTATGTTATTATTTTCTTGATTCGTATGAATTTAATTAAAAAGGGTCGAATAATTAAACAAGGAAACTTATTTTATTTTTGTAAAATTATCAAATAATTTTCTATGTATTTATATTTGAAATATATTAACCTGGAATTAAGGTGCAGCTTTCATTTAAATTTATAAAAAAATAAAATTTACACAAAAACTAAGTTAGTATATATTGTGAAAGAAGTAGAGAGAAGCAGCTGCACATTGGTGAATATTGACTAGAAGGGTTATGATATTTGATGGTTCCAAGTCCGGGACCAGAGGAAGAAGGGCCTCAAGTTTGCAAAACAGGTTAGATATTGGAAAATTTGTAACTTTTATAATGACCTCAAAAATAATTCGACAGATCTCAATCTCTCTACTCTACTCTACTCTACAAAAATAATATATACATATGCCTATATATATATATATAAATATATATATATGGGTCATGTAAGTACCAAACGGGAAATTAATTAAATGCCATGTGAGTGACATAAAAAAATAAAAAAATAAATAAATAAATATTGTACAAATGGGATAAAATTAATGATTTTAATTGGACGTATGTGTGGAGCAAGAAGAAGAAGAAGAAGAAGAAGAAGGTGAGGGATAAATTAACAGTGTTTTGATGGGTGAAAATGGTAAATAATTAATGTTTGAATAAAAATAAAAAATTATAATTTTATAGTGGGTCCCACTACCGTTTTTATCTTCTTAGGGCTTTATAAGTGCCTTTCGAGTCATTTGGAAATTATTGTGACAAAAATCATCATAGAATTTTCACTCTCACTCTCTCATTCTCACTCCAATTCATCTGTACAAGACTCCTCTGTGAATATATGCGTGCGTGTGTATATATATATATGTCATGTTCATTGAATTAACATAAGTCATACACTTAAACTATGTCTTTCCCTCATCACAATCTTCCTTCAGAGACTGATACGGCCACCTCCAATTCATCTTCTCCACAACCCAAGAAGACAAAGCGGATGAGAGACTCGAGCAAGCACCCGGTGTATCGAGGGGTGCGGATGAGGAACTGGGGAAAGTGGGTGTCTGAAATCCGCGAGCCCCGCAAGAAATCCCGCATTTGGCTCGGTACTTTCTCCACGCCGGAGATGGCAGCGCGGGCTCACGATGTTGCGGCTCTGAGCATCAAAGGCAACTCCGCTATTCTCAACTTCCCTGACCTGGCCAGTTCGCTGCCCAGGCCCGTCTCCCTCGCCCCTCGTGACGTTCAGGCAGCTGCTGCCAAGGCGGCGCAGATGGACAACTTCCATTCCCCTACTCCCACCACACTCTCATCCTCAACTTCTCTCTCGTCCCTCGTCTCTGCCATGGACATCACGGAACCCGATGAGCTGAGCGAGATCGTGGAGTTGCCGAGTTTGGGGGCGAATTACGAGGAGTTCGTGTTGTTTGAGTCGCCGTGGTTGGAGGATTGTGGGTATATAGGCAGTGATTATCAAGGTTTGTTATGGGACTACTAGTGCTATTTTTGTCTTGTGGGTTTTTGTTCTTTTGAAGAGTGTAAGCTTTTTGGTCTTTCGGGGTGTTTTAATTAAGCAAATGCCCTTTTTTAGTTTTAAATTAAAGGGGCTGCTAATTAAAACTGTTTGTTAATCTGGATTTTGGTGGTGTGTGTTTGTGTGAATATGGTTTAATTTGTGACCCTCAAAGTTCAATCAATCTGTTAATTGTACAGTCTTATTTGAGTTTGTTGGCAAACCCATTAATTATTCTCTCTCTCTCTCTTTTACACTCCTTCTTTTGTCCCTTCCTCATGGAAACCAAACTAAAATTTAATTCTCGCGCAAGAGATTTATTTAAATCTTTTATGAATATGTTTAATCTCTATACATAAAAGTTGATTTGAAATACATTATTATTAAAACTAAAAACAAAGATGACGATTTTATATCGAACTCGACGGGAACCTAAAATATAATTCTTGTTGGGAATGAAGTGGATCACCGGTTTCACTCCGAATTAAACGAGAATGAGAAAGATTTTTTTTTTTTTTTTTTTGCTTGCTGATTAAAAATTGAAGAGAAGAAAATGAGAAAAGGAGTCTCCACTTTACCCAAGCTCAGTAATTCCCTAATTACTTTATTAATATAAATAAACATTAATGGCATAAGTAGAAAATATAAGGACAAAAATCAGAAATAGAGATTAGGAAAATATATATATATATATATATGTAAAGGAAGCTAATGGTGACAGCAACAAAGAGGCCAGTCTTCCTCCCACCGTGCTGTTATTCCTACCACAGAAGTTCTTTTTAGACATACCCAGAAAGAAATGAGAGAAATTATAGATGTTGAAAAGTGAGAGTTTGACCATATATACAAGTATTGTAGCACATTTTTCCCATTTGTTTTGGATGGACAAAAAGAGACAGAGGCCATAGAGAACTTTAATTTTCTTTTTGCAATTCAAGATTTAGACGCTTTTGTCATGTGTGTGACAAAAAAAAAAAAAAAGGGGAGGGGGGGGGGGAGGAAGATGGTGAAATCTTGACATTGACAAATTTTCCCAATTAAGGTTTTGCACTTCCCCCAAACTTTTCTACTTTTTACTACCCCTATAATGCACACTCCCTTTGATACCTCTTTTTACCCCATTGTATGCAATAGTACGAAAACAAAATGAATATATTTACTTAACGTACAAAAACTAATAACTGGGTCTCCCCTGAATTCTGTGTTTCTCAATCGATTATGGTGTTGAAAGCTTTTATAATTACTCTCTTAATAACAGACATGTTGTCAGGAATTTCCCTTTTCCTCATTCAATGTCTTTATGTAAAATACAAAAAGCTGACTTCTTTCATTGTTTTTGCTCTTTTTTTCCTGTACTAAAATTTCACTCTCTCTTTCTCTTGCATTACATTTAGTATTTAAATTTACACTAACATACTAATTTACTTATTCGGTTAAAAAAATTTTAGTGAGTTTTTTTTTTTTTATTTATTTAAAAAAATTATTACCCATGTGATAGAATATTTAACTCTGTTTATTGTTTATTTTTGCTAAAATAATATATATATATATATATATATATCAATATCCTAATACTGAAATATGTATTAACTAAACCAAATGGAAGGCATAAAATTTTTACCCTTCATAAAAAAGAATGGAAGCATCCGTTATACAACTAAAGAATGATTGACTTTTAAATTATTTTATTACTTATTAATTAAATAAAATCTTGGATATTCTGCTAATTTCTCAAATTTTGTGTCATGATGATATAATTCATTTAAAAAATATATATTTTTTGTTATATTTTAATGTCTGAATTTTTTTAAAATTTATTCCAAAGCATGATTTGAAACCAACATCAATTGTTAAATATAAAAAATAAAAAATAAAATACTTGGTTTCTCCTCTCCTATTTATAGTTAAAGAAAGGATTAAAGAGAATTAGTCAAATGAACGAGTCAAGCGAGTCGGACTCACCGACAACTCAACACTCGTCGCAATAACGATCTTGAAAAGTCTTCCTCAGCTACGTATAATTGAAAGAGAGGGTAATGCATACATACATACATATATATATATATAATTAGATATAGTTGAAAGAAGGGGAAATGAAGGGTGGGTAACTTTGAGTTGATATATAAAAATATAAATATATATATATATATATATATATGGAAAATTACTCTGTGGACTTTGACACATTATTGGGGGTCCATAGATTGATTCCTTACTTCTTGCTTGCCTTTCTCCCTTCCTCTCTCTTTTTTTTTTGCTTTTAAGAAATTTTTTAGATAATGTGATGGTTGGATGGCATTGTCATCACTTTTTCATAAGAGACAACATAGGGTTGCAACGCTTTTAAGACACTAATCTCATGGAATCCGCACTCTTTCTTTCTTTAAATTTTAATTATTAGAAAGGAAATTGTATGTAATACACAAACACACACCCATAAGGATGTTTAGAATTTTATTTGGAAAAAAAAGTGTTTAAATCATTAAAATATTTAAGTTACTTACAAAACACATAAATTGTTGTTTTAAAAAATTAAATAGTTTTTCTTTGGTAGAATATTGGTTGAAAAATAATTTATTATTTTACTTTGAACAATATAGTTTGGTTAAAACATATATATAATGTTTATTTTCTCTCCATTCTTACAATGAAGCAGTAGTTTTGGGTTACAATGTGTGTGTGTGTGTGTGTGTATGTACGTATTCGAATTTGTTTAAACAAGATTGTATTGAAGTCAAAGTTTGTATATAATACATTAGTGGTTGACTTTTAACAATTGGAATTATATTCCCATGTTCAAATTAAGGCAAAATTAGACAAAATTTATAATGTTTGATTTCTTTAGTATAATGTTATAAATTTGGATGATGTAGAAACTTTATTTACCATTAAATTATGTGATTTCATATTACAACCAACTCATTTTAGTATCTACTCTCATTTTTAGGACGGTGGGGATACAAACATTACAAGCTTCATGTGGACCATAAAAAAAAATAATTTCAAGATCACATCATATATATATATATATATATAAAGGTGACAATTAGATTTTATTATATATATATATATATATTCATTAAAATATTTTATTAGATTATATTTTTCAATTTATTTATGAGGGAGTCCCCGGCCCCTACCAGGAAGAAAAACAAAACTGAACCAACTCTAGAAATGTATATATATATTATGAGAGATATCCAGCACCTTCCTAATCTTAAAATATATTAGAATATAAAATATTTATATTTATATTACTATCATTATATGCTAGATTGGTATATGTATTACACACACATATGATTTTTTAATTATATAAAAATAAAAAAATATCTAATGAAAATTTAGAGAACTTTAATTTATATTTTTTGGTTAAAGATTTATGGTAGCTAATCAAAAATTTATAATCATACTGTAATATCAGAGTCCGAAAATTTGGTCCGGAATAATTTTACAATTAATAAAATTATACATTTAAATAATTTAATCTTATTTATTTAATTTTTGTAAATTTTTTTAAGAAAATAGAATTAAGGACAAAATTAAAAATAATTCTAAAAAAAAGGGACGAAATTGTGAATAAATGGGGTATTTTTTAAAAAAATTTAAAAATAGATGGTAAAATCGCAAAAAAAAGAGAAATACGGCCACATCAGCAGCAATGGCAACTCAGAACACGCCGCGTGGCGGACACGCTGACATCGATTTCATACAGGAGGCCACGTGAGCGATCCGTGTGCCGACGAATCCAGTGGTCCATATTGCATCTCACGTGCACGGACGACCCAGATGCTTTTCTCCTTCAGACACAATTGGATGGTCAGATTCAATCCGATCGTGCGGTCTATATTCATTCTCCGAATAAGAGGGATCCAACGGATGGGAGAGAGCCACGTGTCCCCGCATGGACAGTCCAGATCGACTCAAAGAGTGTATTTAAATATCATGTTTCAGGAAACCCTAACCCTAACCCTAACTGCACTAATCCTCACTGGAGAAGAAGAAAAAGGGCAGCCGAAAAAGAAACCGACTATCATCACCGCCGCACCGGAGCTATTGTTGATGCCGAACAGGTATTTTTTTCCTTCCCCCTAGGAACGCAATCTCGAATCTTCATATGCCCATATCAAAGTCGAAAGATCGACAAATGAGCCAAAAAACACAAACAAAGCTCTACCGAGCCACCGCGGCCGAAATCCAAAACCTTCTCCAATGACCCCTTCATGCTTCTTGTTTCACATGATTTTTTGACTGTTATATTCTCTGTCCTTTTCTGGTGCAGATTAGCCGAAGCAGAAACTCAGCCGCGAAGGAATAATGACGGAGCCGCAGCACTTGGAGACCCTCCCACCGGTAGAGTTTTAATTTTTTCCTTTTCCAGCTAACAGAGGTCCCCTAACTTGATTTTTCATAGGTTTTCATGCAAAAATGGCCTAAACCGGCCGAGAATGGCCAGACCAAGAGGAACTGCCACCGTGGGCGACAGAGTTGGCACCGGAACACGACGGTGGTGTCGTGCTAGAACCCTAAATTGGCTAAAAAAGTTTTAAAACACATATTTTGGCCTTTTAGGGTATTTTTAGATACGTGACGGGTATTTTTAATTTTTATCAAAAAAATTCAGGAAACTCGATGACCATCAGGAGGCATAGTGAAAAGTATAATATTTCAGACACCGATATGGGGTAAGAATCTCTCACTTTTTTTGTTGTTGTGATAAATTGAAACTTAATAATCAATAATATTATGTTTTGTAAAAATTAAAAAA